AATTTCCGTGAAATATGTTCCTTCTTGTTACTCACGCTCTGTCCCTGTAGCTGACACAGTCTAGTTCTGGTTGCCTTGAGCTGGAAGAAGGCCCGGTAGCCTCCAACGATTTTGTACTTCTTGAGTGCCGTTTGCTTCTGATTCAGAGTCTTACTCAATCGGCTTTTCCTCCACCGTGGTAATCCGCTTCTTTTTACCCTTCTGAGTGGTGCAACGGTCCTTGTAATCTGTGACGGACTGATACTGATCCATCTCTACTGGCGTTCCACTCAGTATCTATTGCACACCATCATTTGATCTATACGAAGGCCCAGTCCTTTCACTCTATTCTGGTCTTCCTTTGAAAAACTCTTTCTAGATTAACCAGGCGCACCCATTCCCGGAAGGTTCAGCCTCAAATGGATAACTCCATGACCGATCACAACCATGGTTAACTGAACTTTTACTTAATCCACGTGGTTTGGTGACCTGATCAAGAATTGACCGTGAATGATTGAATCTTAAACTCGTCTTTTGATTACCGGGTTGGGAAAGTGCATTTCTAGGGATTAGAAAGAAAAACATATCGGCCAAAACGTGTGAGTCCTGGTCAGGGTAAAGTCTGTCTAGTGACTGACTGCCCAATCCACCAAATGATCATATTCACACCTTCTATATAGCACCTCGAAATCTCAAAGCAATGCGTGGCCCAAACGGTTGCGGAACCTCAAACAAGAACTCGACCGCCCTGAAAACTATACGGCACTGTTTGAGGGTAAAATACAAGTACATAGCAATCACACTTTTGACAGTGAACCTTAGTAACTATACAGCCGAAAGGTATCCAAATCAGGACGGAAATCCGTACGAAGAGAAAAGTGGACGAAAAAGACTAAAAAGAAGGCACATTTTCTGTAGTCCAAACAAACAGGATAGATTTCCCACGCTTATTCCGGCCCAACAAACAATTTACTTGGCCTGAAGCCGATAAAGTCAACGTAAACAAGCTTAACGTTTATGGTATGTCGACGAGAGCGAAAAACAATCAACCAAACCGCGATAGAGCGAACTGCCTTGAGTCACTGCGACTCGTTACTATACGGAGTGTCTACAAACTTATCTTGCAAAGAAAGCGCGACCAAGAAAAAAGGGGGTAAATGCCATAATCGTAGAAAGGATGACGACCACAAAACAGTATCAGCAAGAGTGGGGCATGAAAAGTGGTCCTGAACCCATGAAGAAAAAATACACAGATCCCGGATGAGGAATTTCCAATCATTCACGTGTTACAATAATCTCACCTCAAATATTCCTTCTGAAGCGGCTTTAGAGTTCTAGTCTTCTTTGGGCGCGTTGAATTCACCCAGAATAAGTAATGCCCTTTTCACTTTTTCGACCGTATAGATGAACGAAAGCAGAGCGACAGCCCTAATACCGTACGCGCCTGGGCTTCTGTACGTGCATACAACTGAGGCTTCCGGTCCACCCGCAGCCACTTAAAGTTTTACCTCTTGTATAATGGATGACAGTTCAACTGCTCCAGCACAGCTTTACTGTCCCGCTGGAAGGACCTTCATTCCACCTCCGATTTATCTGTCCATTCTATCTACCTTAAGGAGTAATTAGGAGTCAGGGGCCTGTCCTCCATCTCTTTCGCCTAGTTTTATCCACGTCTCAGTGGTTGATACCTTATCTGCTCCTGGTGTCCCAATTTTACGCTTTGGCCACTTGTTAACCATACGTTCGCTGTTGGTTTGGGCCACAAGCAAAACAACCCCGTCATTCTTCTGCATCTTCTAGAGGGAGGCGGCAGGAGCTCAGTTCTTAAACCAGAGCACACGAACCCCGGACTCTCGAGGAAAAGGACGGGAAAAAATTGGCAGAATTTCGTCCCACATTAATAACCTGGTTGGCAATTGTTCAGCAACAGGAGGGCGCACAACCTGGGTAGACCGTCCGGTGGAATGATCGGAATGCAGACCTCGCTGTCCCTCAGAGAGATCCTAGGAGGTAGGTGGAACGTGATTTTCTCTGACGATGGGTTTTGATCGTCTTCAGTAGGCAGATGAAGAATACTACTGTAGTTTTCTTAGGTATCAAAGCAGCGGAGTAGACAGAAGTTGGACCTCAAGGAGCTCTAATGAGACCGTGAACTGGCCCAGCAAATCTCCATTAAGGCCGCGTAAAATATCCTGAGACCCTTCAAAGGTCTATCTTTTGAGCAACCGAAAACACACTGGTATTAGGTTCAAGGATGATTTTTGCTTTTTTACTCAAAATTCTTGCATTTCAGTAAGCAGACGCTGGTAAAATGTACGGTTTCTCCGTCCCGTTTCCACCGCCAAGGAGGCAAAGTCTGTTTACTTCTGAAGCAATACAGCTGTTTCTCTTTTATAGAAAGCCTAACACCAGTCGTCGGTGTAAAGCACACATGCAATGACACGGGTCACGTGCTAACCTCAGAATTAGAACCGTCTTAGCTCTGGGCACCACCGCCTAATAAACAATGCTATACCACCCGAAATATTAAACCCAACATAGCCAGAATCCCATATAGATCGAAAAAGATACTGCATCTTTGCATTCAGAAACCTCGGACGTCAGTAACAACAAGGGCTAACAGTAAAAGTGGGCTTTCAGTTGTAAATAAATGAAACATTAATTTTAAAACTTACAGAGCAGGCTTTTCTGCAAGTGCTTTTTTTGTGGCACCTATTTTGGCTTTCGCCTGGTGGTTCTCAAAGACGAAACTTTCAACTGTTTTTACCTCTCACAATAAAAACGCAAAGCTCATCCCAAGAACTATGCAAAGACTGTCCCAAATAATATCATTAAATTCTAGATTGGTGTGCTTCACAATCCGGATGTTTATTGCGGTGCAATGCAATACAAACACGTAGTAAAACTGCTCCCGAAAGTACCGTGCATAAACCGTGATTTTGTCGGTTCAGTAATTAACTCTCAATTATTCGAAGGCAAGATGTTTAAAGCTGAGATGGCATACTAAGTTATTCGCGTACTACCGGCTACCGTGCACATAGCACACGGACGTCTTTAGAATGAGTATTCCATTTCTGAGATCCCGGGTGATGCTTCAAAGCACAGCTACACAGATTTTCACTTATTTTTTTATTTTCTGCGCCCACAAGATTGTGTGGACAAAAGGCATATAGAGTACAAGTGCCTAAAAGGAGACCCCGTAAGTAATTGTAGAAAATAAATTCTGTTCCAGCGGGCAAGAGTCGACCTTGCCGTTCTTCCAAATTTATTACACGTGTAAGTGCAGGTCAACCCCTTGCCTCAGCTTTTCTCCAAGATTTCCACTGGCAATACTCAAGTAAATCTGCATCCAAGGGGACAACTAGAACTTTACAAGCTTATCCCATGCACACACAGTGCTTCATTTTATAGCCTCTCAGTGAATTCTTCAAATTTCAATTTGTCGTATGAAGGGATGTCCCACTGAACCGGATTATTTTGAAGCCATGGTAAGTACTTCTTTTTGGACTGATACATCTTCGTCAAGGGTGCGACGGCATCAATGCATTGCCAACCAACACAAACCACGCAAACTAAAGTGTAAATGCATAGAATGAGACTGAAGTAAATCTGAAAGTTTAATTGCTTTGGTATGCTTTTCTAATTTTATTAGCAGTCCCATGTACTAAAAATGTGGAGGAGTTTCTTTTCATTTTCTATAGAAATCACCTTTCATAAACTCTTTACGCTGAACAGTACTTCTGCTACGGGATCGCAGTCGGGTTCGGGGTGAATATACTTTGGTTGAAAGGAAACAATAGTAACATAAAAAGCTACTCTTGGAAATAATCAATACCTGACGGCAATGTTATGTGCTATAGCAAGCACACTTCCTTCTGCATCTAAGGCAACAGGTGTCTTGCAGCACCAGAGTTGATGAACTGCGTGATCCTCCATGACGGGCAGTTGGTATATAACCTTCTCTTCTGGAATATCAGAGTGCGATGGACTTGCCATGATTTTCGCAGGGGAGCATGTTCTTGTACCTACAAAGATCACTTCGCCAAATCTGTTCACTGCAGTGGTAGTGGCTAGAAGTGGAATTTCAGATGATTGTTTCAGGAACCCCCCTAAATTCCTGGCCTGGCCAACATGTTCCGAAAGTGTAAGCATTAAATGAAAAACAACTACGGTTTCTTGAACAATTGCCTTGTGCACAGGACACTTTGGGGGTGGTAAACCCTTCAGTAGAGGATGGGTTATGTTGGATATAACTAGGCTAGGATGAAGCAGTCCGTTTGAGAAGGTATTCCTGCTGTCAGGAATAGGGCCGGTGATTTATCATACGAAAGATCAAGAAAAAAGAAACACCATAAAAGAAAAAGAAAAAAATAATATGAAAAATACTCGCATTCATCATGGAAGTTGTGTTGCAGCCGCTGGCGAGTAGCAGCAAATTGCCTGTTCAGAAAAGCTTCATGATTCGAGATAACTCCATCAGGAAGGGCCACTACTTCTTCCACTTTTCGTCCAACAGCCTCCATTTTGCTGAATCATTATGGACTATTCAAAGATTTTGGCCCTCGGGTGCTTGATCTTAGTCCCTTTGTTTTATTCTTTCAGCCATCACAAGAACAAGCGCAGGCCAGCTTGATTTGTGATATCTTGATTTATTACCGATCACTGTTTGGGTGCCGCATCATTCAGCATAAACGCTTCGGCTTCCGTGGGTGTGACTCGTTGAATTTTGTTATTCTGCGGTTAAAAGGTTTCGAAAAGCCGTGCCCTGGTGCGCGTAAAGGCTATCGTTTTGGACTGTCACGCAGCATTTGGCTTTCGCATGGTTGAGCATTTTTTCAATCATTGGACGCTTCATATTGGTCGATTTACGGTTATGTTTCGCTCGACGTTAATTGCAGCTTCGAAATGAATCAGACGTATAATTCCCCTCCGCTCGCGCATTTGCGACTGTAAACCCTCCTCTTCCCAACCCTTTTCCGTTCCTTTGTGCTGTTGACTCGCTCGCTCTAGGTCCTCCGCAGATGCCGATGGAATTAGATAACAAGGGTAATTTTGCTTTGGAGCTAGCAGCTGAAATGGCCACTGCTTCACTCGCTGGTAGGTCTTCTGCTTCTGTTCTTGGTCGTGACTTGTCAGAAGCTCACAAAGAGATGAAGCTGGAATTGCAAAGGGCTCAGTTAGAAGCGAAAGCCAATGAGGTCATTCACAAGGCAGCAGTTCGATATCGTGAAGGCATGCATTTTGGCGCAACCATCCGTTTGACAAAAGACAGTTTGCAACGTCCACAATCAAATGTCGTTCATGAACACCAAAATTTCCCAGACCGGGGAGCCGCAGTGAAGACGTCCTTTGTGTTGGTAAATCTGACCCGGTTAGTGGAATAGATGGGTAAAGCTGTCTGCTGGAATAATAAGAATTGACAAAATGTGAACTCACGTTCAATGGCTCACCCTCAAAAGGTTTTCTGTTCTTATGACAATTTGGTAGTCAGATCCAAAGTTGATCAAGGAATGATAGTTAGCATCTGAACCATTTGTTTTATTGTGTTAAAGGTAAAGCAAAAGAAGCCTTTCTAGGTCGCTTGCTTTATCCTACTAATGAAGCGTAACAGCGGGAAAAGGCATACAGAGGGTGTTTTGGTCAGAGGCATCACGTTTCACTTTGCACGCTAAATGGGATAACTAAGCAAGGATTGATTGCTGAAGATCCGGCCGCTCTATTATTCTGTGCTAAAACGTTTACCGGGTTGCGCAGGTGCACTGTAGCCAATAGGATATTTGAGTGACCTCATTTCGATTACTGGAATAGAGGTGGTTGGGCGTAAGTTGCTCACGTACATGGGAGTTGATTGGGCAAAATGGACCATCAAGATCTAGCGGACGGACAACAACTCCGGGTTCCGCGGTTTGTGTCAGTTCGTGGGTGTTAGGGCACCGTTGCAATGCAATAGGTTCAGGTATCTTCCCCGTAAGCGAAGGAATGTGCTACGAGTTTATAAGAAAAGCGGCTCGAACAATAAAACTTGGCGGCATCTAACAATGTTCTATTTCAGGAGGGCCCAGCCAGTACAGTATTTATGATCGAATGTCACTAGCGGTAATACTGATGGATATTTTGTGACAAAGTACAAAAATGTATGAAACATTTAAGTCGGACAGGTTTGTGGGGGCCCAATTTGGGCACACTAAGGAATGATGGAGAAACTTATTTGGGTCCTTCAATGGATTCAACTGAATGTCCGGCAAGTTCGAAAGCCAAGATCAAATGGCAGAACGTGACCGATGCAAAGTGGGATAGCATAAGACTGAAAATTTTATGAAGAGAGAACTGAAGACCTTTGAAACGCCTTTGGTGACCGGAGGCGATGAAAACTGCGTGGATCTACGTGGAGCGGAATAGATAACAACAAAAGGTATATGAGGCATTTGGACATTGCCATAAATGATCGGTGTCGATGTAATAATCTCAGTGTAAAACAAAGCTGTCAAGACTAATTGTGAACCTGCTCGTGCTTTTTGCAGTCCGATACATACCGTTGTCTTCTCCATGAACGAAAGAACGAGCCACGAGCTTATAAGGGAGAGGGTTGGAACCTTTCGAATTAGCTGTAACTACGAATGATAGAAGTTGCGGTAAGTTTCATGGAAAACAAAAGCCAGAGGACGAAAAATAATTCCCTTTCTTGACCTTACTACTACCACATGGTTACGCAACCAAGCCTGCCTGGGTGTCCTCGAAATAAACTATTATTAGTAACATCAATATTCGTATTATTTCTTAATCATTGTCGGATGAGAGAGTCGTCGCATTCCTGGAAATGGGCGTCCTAGGTTTGCTTTTTCGTGGGGGAAAAGTACACTCATGAACTTTGTATTCGGTCGGCCACCCTTTATCTTCTTAAGTTGTTTTGAAGTAGGATCGTCAAGGGTGCAGAACTTGAGTCCAGCTATGTTACGCATCGAGCCATAATTTCAGCAAGGATATACGGTGCCTGCTACAGGGGAGTCCATGCCAGATAGACATGCTAAGTGATATCTGCCACACCATGCGGTGTTCTATCCTGAAGACCTGAAACAATAGGTTTGCCTTTGACCTTGCCTCGGAATTTTATGGGCAGTCACTAGATGAGCACTCCCTGCGTGGCTCCGGTTTAGTTTCCAATTTGTTAACCCTACTTCTGTGGCTTCGTCAGATGCCTGGGGTCAAGTGCATCGACACTGAGCAGATGTTCCTGCAGACGAGGGTTCCCGAGGAAGGCTGAGACACCATTAGAAGTCTCCAGTGGTCTACATGAAGTTGCTCTGAGCCGAAGAGACTTAGAGTGACGGTACATCATTTTGGAATGGTTTTATCACAGTTCGTGAGTCTCGCTCTCAAGAGGACAACTGCCTGATTTTAGCAACACTTTCCGTTGTCAGTACCACCAGTGGTTTCAAAACTTTTTGCACCAATTATGAAATAACCTCCTTTATTATTGCATCAGAAGCACTGTGTTTGGTGGAGAAATTGAGTCATCCATTAGGTCTTGGTGGATTTGGCTTAACCAAATGGCCAAGTAGTTAGCGAGGGGCCTTAAGTGCCAGCACCACAATAACCACTGATGCTGGTCCACTTATTTCCGTCAAACCTTGTGTTAGACTCTTAATGTTGAAGTGGACTTTTGTGTGTACCATGTTCATACCGAGTATGGGACAACAACAAGGGGAGCATTGTTGGCGCAACTAGCCTCAATCTATGGCCTTCTAGGTTGAGTTGGTCCGTCCATTCTACCTAAAAACAGCTGTTTCCAGATTCACCCCTGGAGAGGTTTGGTTAGGAGGAGCCACTAGAAGTGGAAGCTGGAGCAGATTCGGAAAAAGTTAAAAGGAATTTCGAAGGGGTCATATATACAAAGAGTATCGCCGTGGCAGGCGCATGATGTTTTGAATCGGAATGAGACAGGTGAACTACACTTATTTCTTGGCGCATCTGGAGCTGGCCTCTGATCAGTGTTCCAGTTTAGAATCACGAAGCGTATTTGCGTTTCATAGTTCCTGCGTGCCAAATTTGAAGGCAGTTTCCAGAAGAGGGTGGGGCAGACTGCAGTTTTCTCTGCAGAAAGAAGGATTGGAATGATCAGTGAGAAAGTCTGAAGTTGCTTAAAGTTCATTTTTTAAAAAAGGTCGGTCGCAAAACTTTCTTATGATGAAAGGCAACAAAGGACATTTTGATAAGTTTGCTGAAAAACCGAAAGTCAAAATTAAGTGCATGCTCTTCTCTCAATTAGTGGAGACTCGTACCACGAAAAAAGAATTTGGTTCTCTTTGCCTCCTGAGGGCTGCGGCTCAAGCTAATTGACAGTCATCCGCAGTATTCTGGTATAAACTGTCTCTATCTCTCGTGAGCTAATGAGTCCACCAGAAAAAAACTAGTTGGAACCTCGCCTCGACTCTCGGAGACGAATACACACACCGCGGCCAGTTCGGCGAACAACTGTCCATTTTGCCACACTTCGAGAGTCATTGGATGCCTTATCTGGGTGTACTGCGTGGATATTGTGATGAAAATAATATCTTCTAACTACATCCAAAAGGCTAATTGAAATATCAGTGCAAGTGAGTCGTTTAACATTCGAGTGATAAGAAGTTATCGTGAAGCAACTGTGAGACTGGTTTAGGTGGAGTGTTTCCCAACGAGATCGAAAAGCAGGATGGGAAACAATTCCTGGAGCCTCACCTGCGAGCAGCTTGCTCCGGAGGCTAAGCCCTATCCCGATTGATGAGCTGTTGTACAGAGGATGCGGATAGAATGATTCTACTTATTTCTTGAGGCGAAGCATCAAAGTCTTTTGAGAAGTGCTTGCAGAATGACCGAGGAGATCTTGGAATACTACCACGGAGTCGAGGACCATGCTGTCCATCTACAAGGCCTGGCTGCACTTCGAAGGGGGTTTTGGACTGTGAGGGGAGTGTCAGCTGTTCAAAGCGCCATTGGTTTATATTTACGCAGCCATAAACGGATATTTTGCTCAAGGTGTCAAAAAATGACGCCATAAAATGTGGAATCCGAGGCCCTTGTGGGTTCTGAGGTGATCCAAATGTGAAAAGTCTTTGGCCTCGGCGGGATTCGAACCCACGCATGGTCACCACCCTCGCTTTGATACCGCGAGTGATCTACCAGCTGAGCTACGAGGCCACGCCGGAGAACCTTGGACTTTCTGCAAATGGATCACAGTATACCCGCCCAAATTACAGTAGCACATGGCATCCACCACAGTGAACTAGCTTGTAATTTGACTGCCTATAGCAGGATTTCCCTTTGTACTAACCGGACTCCACCAGTTAAGTGCATTGGGCATGTTTACATTGTATTGATGGTTGGCAGATTTTGATAATGTTTTGAGGTGATCCAAATGTGAAAAGTCTTTGGCCTCGGCGGGATTCGAACCCACGCATGGTCACCACCCTCGCTTTAGTACCGCGAGTGCTCTACCAGCTGAGCTACGAGGCCACGCCGGAGAACCTTGGACTTTCTGCAAATGGATCACAGTATACCCGCCCAAATTACAGTAGCACATGGCATCCACCACAGTGAACTAGCTTGTAATTTGACTGCCTATAGCAGGATTTCCCTTTGTACTAACCGGACTCCACCAGTTAAGTGCATTGGGCATGTTTACATTGTATTGATGGTTGGCAGATTTTGATAATGTTTTGAGGTGATCCAAATGTGAAAAGTCTTTGGCCTCGGCGGGATTCGAACCCACGCATGGTCACCACCCTCGCTTTAGTACCGCGAGTGCTCTACCAGCTGAGCTACGAGGCCACGCCGGAGAACCTTGGACTTTCTGCAAATGGATCACAGTATACCCGCCCAAATTACAGTAGCACATGGCATCCACCACAGTGAACTAGCTTGTAATTTGACTGCCTATAGCAGGATTTCCCTTTGTACTAACCGGACTCCACCAGTTAAGTGCATTGGGCATGTTTACATTGTATTGATGGTTGGCAGATTTTGATAATGTTTTGAGGTGATCCAAATGTGAAAAGTCTTTGGCCTCGGCGGGATTCGAACCCACGCATGGTCACCACCCTCGCTTTAGTACCGCGAGTGCTCTACCAGCTGAGCTACGAGGCCACGCCGGAGAACCTTGGACTTTCTGCAAATGGATCACAGTATACCCGCCCAAATTACAGTAGCACATGGCATCCACCACAGTGAACTAGCTTGTAATTTGACTGCCTATAGCAGGATTTCCCTTTGTACTAACCGGACTCCACCAGTTAAGTGCATTGGGCATGTTTACATTGTATTGATGGTTGGCAGATTTTGATAATGTTTTGAGGTGATCCAAATGTGAAAAGTCTTTGGCCTCGGCGGGATTCGAACCCACGCATGGTCA